AAAGTGGGAGATTAGCTAAAGTAAAACAATAAGGAGAGACGCTAGCTGAGTTAAAACAATAAAGTGGGAGATTAGCTAAAGTAAAACAATAAGGAGAGAGGCTAGCTGAGTTAAAACAATAAAGTGGGAGATTAGCTAAAGTAAAACAATAAGGAGAGAGGCTAGCTGAGTTAAAACAATAAAGTGGGAGATTAGCTAAAGTAAAACAATAAGGAGAGAGGCTAGTTGAGTTAAAACAATAAAGTGAGAGATTAGCTAAAGTAAAACAATAAGGAGAGAGGCTAGCTGAGTTAAAATAATAAAAGATATTAATCGAGGTTTTTCTTCATTCAATCCTAAATCATAAAAGCTAGTAGTATTAAATTAGTTTGGATTTACGATAGAAGTAATAACACTCACTCTAATCTATCTTCAAATTATTGATTCTCTTATAGATATTTCATTTCTTGTATAAGGTTAGCTTTGCGTTATTTTTCAGAGCTGAATTATTTTTCAGCTCTTTGGAGGTTCACAGCTTGAAAGCAGTTAAGCATGGTCGTATTTTTCATTTTACTGACACGTATCTCTCCAATTAAACAAAAACATTTAAACGCTAAATAAGCAAACAGTACGTCAATCAAGGTTTCCTTGGTTATTAAAGAGGGCGATTTCGATTTACGAAATAGAGGGACTGCAAAAAAGAAAAAAAGAACGAAAAGGGCGGGTATTGGGTACATCATTTCAAGAGAAGAGTAAGTGTTACTACCACAAGTTGTAGTTACTTTATCAAAACAAGGGGTAGTCTCGTAATTAACTACACCTTTTCATCGCCCATCCCTTTTCGTGTAAGCCTCTCAATTTTTTTCTGGTAATTAAAACAACCAAATCGCTCAGATGCTTGTCTAATTGACCTATGGTTTAAAGAAAGCCGCTCTTGTGAGGGCCGCTTTATTACCCATCTTATAATGATGTAAAAATATCTTATAGAAATCCAGGTTTAATTAAGCTCACTGGAATTTAAAAGCTTACATAAATATAAGCATCTGCGCTCATGTTTGCCAGATGGTCCATTATTTCACTATCCTATAATCTATATTTGGAACTATTAAATTTATTTAAGTATAGGCGGAGCGATATATTTGTCTGCCCCTATTCCGTTTCGGTATTAATGTATTAGACCTTTTTTTTTTTTTAAATACTTCCACCAATTAAGTGAAGCCTTGGGAAATACGCTCACTTGACAAGTAGAAAACGGTTTAAGTTAGTGACACCAAACTAGGCAGACATATTTCTACCAACATTTATTGTTTCATATGTTCACAAGTCCAGATCATAAGAAAATAAGTTCCTGTTAAAAGTAGTTTCAGGAATAGCTCTAGACACGTGTTAAATTTGTTATATCTGGAAAATCACTTATTATTATTTAGGAGAGAGTCTAATATTTAAATTGAAGACTGATTAGTCTCAGATGGTGTTATTAGAAACACCAGGTGTCGCTTACTTTTAGAGAAGTACACGTTAGTTCTTCTTTATAAATCGTATATGTAATCTATCATCGCTTGTTTATGTCCGGAAAATGTTAAGTTCTGTGCAGTAACTGATGGAGACACTAAACAAAACACAATACCCTAAATACACTAAACAAATACAATACTCTAAATACACTAAACAAATACAATACTCTAAATACACTAAACAAAACACAATACCCTAAATACATTAAACAAAACACAATACCCTAAATACATTAAACAAAACACAATACCCTAAATACATTAAACAAAACACAATACCCTAAATACATTAAACAAAACACAATACTCTAAATACAATAAAAACACAATACTATAAGTACACTAAACAAAACACAATAGCCTAAATACATTAAAGAAAATACAATACCCTAAATACACTAAACAAAACACAATATCCTTAAGCAAAACACAATACCCTAAATACATTAAACAAAACACAATACTCTAAATACAATAAAAACACAATACTATAAAGTACACTAAACAAAACACAATATCCTTAAGCAAAACACAATACCCTAAATACATTAAACAAAACACAATACCCTAAATACATTAAACAAAACACAATACTCTAAATACAATAAAAACACAATACTATAAGTACACTTGTATTTAGGCTATTGTGTTTTGTTTTTAAAGAAAACACAATACCCTAAATATATTAAACAAAACACAATACCCTAAATACATTAAACAAAACACAATACCCTCTATGATAAGTAAAATGCTAATCATTTCGATGGATGCAAAACATCTAATAATAACGTCGTGTTTGCATTATCAAAAATGACACAAACTTAATCTGGCTTTTTCGCAATAACATGTTCATTGGTAAGTCTGGAGGCTTACAACGCTAAAACACCACCTGTGATAGTCACAGAACAGATGGTCTACTGCTGCTTCGGGCTTTATGTATCAACTAAATCATCAACGAAACAGCTTGAACTACCTTTTGTTAATGATGCTAGGAGACGGCTTGAACTGGTAATGAATAAAAACTTTAATATAAGTTTAATATAACAGCATATGTACAACGTTTTGTCAGTCATCATCAGGTAGAAGTAGTTTACACTAGACTGAACCTTTATTACAAATGAAAAAAATAATTTAATTACTGACGATCTTTATTTTTATCTATGTAAAACTGATTCACGCACACCACAACTCTATGGTATTCCTAAACCACACAAACAGGATTGACACCTACGATTTATACTGTCCACATATGATTCATTCAACTACAATCTTAGCAAATACATAGCCTGGGCTCTCACACCATATGTAACATCTGCAGGTTCATTTTTTAAAGATGCCTTCAATTTCAAATATACACTAGACTAATTAAATTCTAAAGCCTTAATGGCTAATTTGGATGTTGTGTCACTCTTCACCGAAGTCCCCGCTAATGAAGCTTGCAGTA